GTTTTTACTTTTAGTCTGCTCATTATGGTTTTTAGTATTCAGCTGTGTCGGATGCAGATGTGAGAATGTGGAAGCAAAGGATGTCAACTGATGTAGACATGGTGTGGAAAATGTATGGGAGGGGTGCTAAAGTTATAGACGCCATAATTAGCTGGTTGGCTTTCAGTTGAGCTTTAGATTGATGCAACAAGGGTGCTACTTATAGGCCTGCGGGGTTGGTGTGTGTGTGTGTGTGTGTGTGTGTGCGTGTGCGTGTGTGTGCGCATGTGCACTTTAGTCAGAATGGGGGTTAGAGTTAATATGCATTAGGTCTTCAACTGACGATCAATTGATTAGTCAGATAAAAAAAATTGACCCATTCTACAGATTTTTCATTTAACCATTTAAGCCTTTTCATATTATGCTAGAAATACATTAAAAATGCAAATAAATGAAAAAAACAATTTCTTTTTAAAATAAGAGAGGTAATATTTTATTGCCTAAAATACAAGAACATTTATTTAGTAGATCTGAACCAGCTGAAGTTGAAACTGAGCTGTTAAAACTGAGTTTTAGCTAAACCCTATTTACAGACAAAGGTGTTTATCTTAAATGCATTTTTTTACGACTTTGGCTTAATTAATGCTGTCAATATATTGATTTTTTTTTTCAGCAAATTACCTTAAGTATATATGCTCCAGTTAGTCATTAATTGATTAGTAAATTATTTGATGATTTCAATATTTGATTAATTGCAATAATGTGATTAATAATTTCAGCCCTAATATCCATCCACATACTTGTGACTTATTACTTGTTTGTTCCTGTTCATCCAATTTGCAAGGCTTTGCTGTTTCACAGAACACTTTAAAGAAGTTTTGGGCTGACCTTGAGCTTCCTGTCTTGTCTTGGTGTAGGAAAATGTTGCAGGTGGAGGTTTTACAGAGTAAAACTTTGTGTTATTTGGTTTACTGATTTACAGCGTAGGTAAATGAATATAATGCATTCAGTACCCAACCTGCCTATTGTTGTCCCTCCCCTTTTTCCCTGAAGTATGTGAGCTGCAGGTAAAACATATTGTTTGACAGTCTGTCAGATTTGCTTTGCTTGAACTGTGTTTTTCTTGGTCTTTGGGGTTTTTTATGAAAAACATTTGCTGTAGAAAATTTGCAGAGAATTTCTCTTATTTCTTCTGTTGTTGGAAATATTTTCTATGGTTAAGTTTCTCCAACCATGACTGTGGCTTGACCCCATTCTAAAAATGTCCCCAAGACAGATAAATATAATTATTTCTGTATGCTGAGGGCTCAATAGATTCAATCAGTGTTTAATCACATTATATTTTCCATTAGTTGCTCACCTGGACTCTACATTTGTGTCAGAGGGAAGCAGTTATTTTGTTTTTTATTATTAGCTCTGCTGGTTTATCTGCTCTGGCTTCAGTTTAATGCAATCAGGTCTCGGCTCCACCTTTACTGAGGGCTGCAGCGAACATAAATGACCAATTTCTCTCTCAGTGCGTTAGGATATTCTCCGTCTGATCAGGAATGAGTCAATTCCCGGCTGGATAAAGCAGCAGATAAATGGCTTGAGGGTTTTGCTTTGGTCTGTTATAGAGCTCATCTTAGAGGCAAAGAAAGCTCTTGATTTACCGACCCGTCTTTGTTCCAGCCCTCACCTTTAGAGAGGAGATACAGCTCAGGACCAAACAAACATAAATCTGGACACAAAGCAGCTGAAAAGAGCTTCATCTGCAGGAGGAGCAGGGATTAGAGGAGAGATGAAGAGCTCAGATTAGAGATGAAGGTCCTCCTCTAAACACCCAGCTGGGTGATTTGGGGGATTTTAAGACGTACGGACGGACGAGTGTCTACTACAGTGTTTCTCCAGATTCATCAACATGGATGAGACATTTAAAACATTCAAGACTTTGTGACATTTAGTTTCCAGGAAAACTTGATCAAGTTCTTTCATTTTTTTTAAAGCATAAAATTAAGTTTTCTGTTCATCTTAGAAACCAACGAAGTAAAAATCACTCAAATCTTTCCCAACCCCAGTTCTTTCCCCTGATTGCAACAGTATTTGATTTGTAACCTGGACCCTTGTATGGAGTCCATCAGAAAACATTCAGCGTTGAATGTTTCCCTCTGTCCTAACTTGACTCCTCCGTCCCTTCCGGTTCCCCTCCCCTCGCCTGGTGGTTTTGTGGCAGAGATAAGGAGGTGAGAAATAAATCCTGCGGCTCTGCATGAGGAGGTTCTGCCTCTGCCAACACCATCTAAACAAACAGCCTGCTAAGTAGTCTGGGGAATATAAACTTAGATCTCGGATAAGAGCGTGCCACAGCTAACACTCACACTGAGGCCGGGATGCTGTTCCATGCTGCTGCAATCCATTTTATCAAATAATCACATAGTTGGTGGTTGAATTTTTTATTGAAAATCTGGACTTTTTTTCACCAATTCTCTTTGGGATCCATAATTCAGAGTGATGCCAGAGCCTCCAGGGCGGCCATCTTGTTTTACAGCTTCTGCAAGTTCATTGTACAAGTAACAGAATCGAAAATATTTTCTGCCATTTCTAATTTCTGTTTAATAAAACAAAAATTGGAATGGAAATTGGATCTGGTATGAAAAATAAAAGTAAGATTTTATGCAAACAACCGAGTCCATTTCAAAGAAAACCACAAACTAAGAAAAATCAAAACAGATCTTGTGGGACAAAATCTGTAGATTTTATTTTTAATTCATGTTGCCCAGTCCTGTGCTTCAGCTTTTTGGGCAAAGCAAAAATATTGACCCAAGCAGGACTCCCTCAGACCGGATAATGTGACGGATTGGGAAACACTGGAACAAGCAGCAGGACTCTGGATTATCATGGATCTCGTTTTAAAGCACAGTTTGTCCACAGACGGAGGGACAGACGGACAGATGGACTGGCTTTCCGTCCCGTCTGATGAAGTGAAGCGTGGGAACATGCAGCACAGCCAGACCAACCGATGGGAGGCGAATCTGAAATGTTTCTGCCTGAAGCAGCTGCAACTCTAAAGTCCTCAAAATGCTTCAGTCTGGACCAATTTAGGCTAATTAACACCATCAGCTGAGATCTGAAGATAATTTAACATTCTTGTCATTCTGTGGTATTTATTGGAGGTTTAAATCTGGTGGCATTTTCCTAGGGATGGGCGATAAATAAATTTGATTGATTAATCAAATTTTGGATTTCTGAAGACTTAATTTTTGAATAGCATAGCTTTGGATAGCATGATTTTATGTTTCCAGAAAAAAACCCAAACACTTTAAAAAAATTACCCCCAAAAATGAGCCGTTTCTAAAACCTTTGGAACATAGTCAAACATCAGCAGGCACTGTGATGTTACCTAGCAACCCCAGCAATGCGCAGCCTGTTACCTAGCAACCCTGCACATTTGGTCAGCTTCTTTCACTGCTGTATTTGCTGTACAATGGCTGCTGGAAAAGATAAGTGCTGTTGACTTGCCCTATTCTTGCTGGTTGTGCAGGAGGTCCCATTGATGCTTTTCAAAGATGTATGGTTGTATAATTGTGCATCTGTTTGCAGCCATTTTCACATGCAAGTGAAAACATTGAGTTTGGGGGGCGTGGTCAGCATCAACTTATTTGGATTTAAAATGACAAAGGCCCTAAAACATATCTAAAATTTCAATAGCTAAGAATGATTTTGTACAAAAAATGTAATGAACATGTTTTGTATAGGCCATAGAAATATCCAAACATGTTAAAGGAAGCATCATAGTCACCTTTAGACAAACATTATCGCAGCCTGACCCTAATATTTTGTTCTACAATTCACAGAAGGGATAATTGAAATAATTTATTTTTTTGAAAAGAAAACCTGAAAAGATAGATTGAAATTGGATCTGGTATGAAAAATATCTAAGATTTTATTTTACATTCTCTGCTTTTAACGCTTAGAGCATCACAAACAGGAGCTGCAGGTCGGCGGCTCAAACGTTGGTTTTGATTGATGTGGTAATTCTGGTTCTGAGAGATCCGCCTCCGGGATGAAAACTGGGAAAAGATGGAGGCAAGCAGGAGATGAAAGCAAAATGATGCAGCAGGTAGTTTAGTTTTTCTTTTATTGGCACTTTATTTGTCTAAAAATGCTTTTAATGAAAAAACCAGAACATCCTCTTAGAGAAGAGAAGGTATTCAGGTAGATGAACCACACTGGAGAAAATCCAACCTCAGAGGAGGGAAACAAAATCTGGTCGGACACCAGATGTAAAGGAAGGTTCCAGCCAACTGGCTTTGAATGCAGCTCATATTTGCATGAGATTTGTATCTGTTTGTTGATGTCAGGCGTCGCTTTCAAATGGGATTTATTAAACCATTAACCCCTTCCATCCCAGACAGAGAGAGAGACAAAGCCTCACTAGCAACAAAGTCAAAGTTTTCCCAGCCTGCGGTTAGTTTAGAAGTCTTTTCCTTCCTCGATCCAGGAAAGAGAGGACGGAGTGAAGGATGAGAGTGGAAAGAGAGGAAGAGGACGAGGCAGCAGGAGGAGGAGGAGGAGTGTGGTGTAGGCAGAGCCGTTTCTGGCTGCCATGTTGCTGGCAGGAGAAACACTTCAGCCTCGCTGCAGAAAAATTCACTTTTCCTTCTGGTCTGAAGCTTGTTGCTCAGAAACGAGCGCAGATCTCAGAGAGGCAAATCATAAAAAGCATGTTTAGTTTGACTTCTTCAGTGATTTTTCTCTTTAGACGTGTATTTCATGTCAGATATTCATCCAGAGTGCTTCTTCAGATGGTTCATTTTTTGCTTTTTATTGCATCTGGTGCAAAACCTGGATGTTTTCCCCTCGTCTTGCCTGATTTAAGTTGTATTATCCAAATACCTTCAAACAGATATTTGGTAGCAGTCCATCTTGCAACAAATGTGAGGCGGCCTCTGACTGAAGACTGTTGCTTCTGAAGTCTTATGACCAGAATGACATGTTAACAGCTAAACTTTGAGGTAGCAAAGACGATATTCCACAGTAACTCGTCCTGGATGAAACCATCAGTTGTTAGCTAGCACTGCTAATCCTCCTCATTTGCTTTTGCCGTTTCTCTTTAAATCTGCCTGGCCGAATGATTAAACAGCTGAGCAGCGAGTCGTTGAAGTAGGAGATAAGATGCGTATAACACTCTGGTTGGCTCCTTTTTTGGGCTTGATGCCCGTTATGATAGATGAAAGCGATGGTTTGAACTTCCTCCTCCTCTGTTTTCACCTCCTCTGGGATTTGGGGTCGTAGTTCAGGTATTATTTGAGCCTTTGAGATGTTAATCAGCTGCTCCCAGATCTGCAAACATCAAATCCAAAGTGAAATATAAATGGAATAGTTGATAGATAAAATCGTTTTCATGCTTCTGCACAACAGTATGCTTCTTTCGAAATCTGAAAAAGTCAGAAAATATGTATTTATTTAATACATATTAATTCTCTACCCTGGGTTTAAATACTGAGATTTGATATGTGGAGTGTTTGGGAAAAGCTTTTAAATCAGCTTGTTGTCGTAACATCAGCTGCATTTTTTTTTTTTTTTAGCTCGTAAACAGTTGCAAAAACATCTGGTCTGATGACCAATCATGGCCTCCACTGCTGCAGTAACCTGATAACTCGGCTGCATGGTGATTATTTAAAAATGTTAAGGATTTTCTGTGTGATCACTTTCACACAGTAAACCTGATTAGTGTTTTCATTCTGTGGATCTAGAAAGTGTTCACGCCCCCTGTCAGGATAAGGTTTTTGTGATTTTAAGGGGAAATATGAAATGTAAAAACGGTGCGTTGGGCTGAAATAAACCATGTTTGGAGCCTCTTTGCTGTCCGTTTCAGCATTCTGGCTTCTTTAGTGGGAATCCATCTGTCTGAGACGACATCTCTGCCACTTCCTGGCTCATAATTTCACGCATCTTGAATTTATAAAAGTAAATTTGCTTAATGGAAACATGGCAATTTCAAAAAGTCTCCAGTCTCTTTTAAACGTTTTTTGCACCAGGATGAGGTGGTTTTTCAACTGTACTGGAATTTGTATATTTCGGAAAACTCCAAAGGAAACGCTTGAATATGAATACATCTCATGTAATTGTCTCACTGCCATGTTTTTCAGTGACTTATCATGTCAACAAACATATTCATGTCTGATTTTAATTAAATTTTTTATTTAATAGAAACATCACCATTGTGAAATTGTTTTTTTATTTTGACATTTCCAGAATATTTCAGAATAAAAGCTTTGCACACATTTGTAATGGAAATGGAGCTTAATGGAAACGGTTGCAGTTGCGGTTTTTGATATGGGCAGTTGCCCAGGGTGGCATTGGAAAGGGGCGAGATGCTGAAGAACTATAACTTACATCTTATCTGTCTGAACAACTTTGGTACTACTTAGTGAGAAATGGTCAATAAAGATTTAGAGTGTGCAAATTTATGCACCAGGATTATTGCAGATTTTTTTGCCTTTATTCTTAAAGATTTTATTCATGAAGTCATACAGGACTTCACTTAAAAAGGGAAAATAATTTTATAATTTGTTTTTACGTCACGTTGAGGAGTTTTTGTTTTTCGTCTGCAAGGGTGTTTCATATCTCGTTTTGTCCACAGATTCAGGCATGAATCAGAAATTATTTTAAAAAGGCATCTAGACAGTAAAAAACATGAAGGAAAAAAAGGTTGCACCTGTTTGGCAAACAGGAGACGCTCCACCAGCTGGTCTCTCAGTCAGTTTTACTGGTTTTTAGCCTCATTTCAGAACTGGAAACGGTGCTGGCTTGCGGTCCAGAAACTGGTTGAGTCAAAGAGCAGTGGAGAGGGAAGAAAATGAAGGGATGGCCGGATGGAGAAAGGAAGTGGAAAAAGGTGGAGCGATGAGTAACGAAGTGAGGAAGAGGATGACGGTGAAGTGAGCTCAGCTCGGAGCTGCGTGGTTTCTGCTGGCAGAGGTGGGAAGAATGACAAGTATGTGGGACTTTTTCCAGAGCTGTGGTTTACTCAAACACTCCGAAGTGGCGGCGCAGAGAAAAACCAGAGCTTGAGTAAAAAAAATAAAATGGCGTTTCTATACATCTATACATATGACGATGACCTGCAGGAGGGCTTGATTTGTTTTCCCTCTGCGTTGCGCCGTATCTTAGACACACACACGTCAGGATAGGGCGGAGGGTGGAGGGGTCACGGCTGCAGCCATTGTTGTTCTGGCCGACAAACTTCCTGTTGCAGGCAGCTGTGACGCCCAACGCCACCATCCAGGGACAAAAACACACAAAAGCTGCTCATTCTCGCTCCGTCCTGCACACATTCATACCTGTGGAGCTTTTTACCCCAAACCTGGCATGAAGGCTGCAGCTGTGTTTTAGTTAAGCCAGATGAGCCGAGGTGTGAACTGATTATGACCTTCTGTGAGGAATCAGGAACACTCAACAACTTCCAGAGCGTCTGCACAGGGCCGGCCCAAAGCATAATGCGAGTTAAGTGGCTGCTTAGGGCCCCCACACCACCAGGGGGCCCCCAAGAGCACCAATGATTAAAATCTATTAAAATGTTTAAAATATTAAATAGCTAGATGTAAAAACAATTAGTTGATTTTATAGATGTTGCACAAATAATATTGTCCTGTTTTCTGCTTCACCTAAGCAAAAACACAAAATCTTACCAAGGTTTTCTGATCCTGTGCAAATATCTTAGCACACTTGAAATAAGACAAAACTAACTCATAAGTAGCTTTTCAGCAAATATAGGGGCTTATTTTAAGTCAATACTTCCTTAATATTGATGAAAAAGTTCTACATCTTTTGATTTCCATCTGTTTTCCATAATTGAATCCACATTTTCAGAATCTGTAAATAACTCAAAACTCCCAGATTAAACTTGATCATGATTTCCAAAACGTCATCGCCTCATTAGGATGAACTGAGAAAATGACAATAAGTGGGTTAAGAGACTAATATTTCCACCTATTTCATGTTAGGTGGTCTGAATGTTTGCTAAATGAGCTAAGTTCCTGAAAAAGGTGGAGAAACATTGTTTTAATGGAAAAAGAGAGCTGATGACTATTAGCACCACCTTTTCTTGCTCCTAATGACTCTGATGCTGCCAAGTATTTCCTTTTCAATATTTTAGACTTCCTTTACGGAAAAATCTGCAAATTGGTGGATTTTGGAGTCGCATTCCTCAGAAAAATGAGCGAATAATGAACTGCGAATAGTCGGGGACCCGGCATATTATTTATGGGTTCATCTGGTTCAGATTTGATTATAGTACAAGTCTAGACAATAAAATGGAATTAAAAAACACTAAAGCTAATTGTGGTCGGCTGCAAAGCCTGCACATCAACACCAGACTAGTTGGAACCAAACCTGCATCTAAACGTTTCCCTTTTACTGGGGAAAGTAAAAGGACTTAAATGTCCTAAAGCATCTTAAAAACGCTTTAAAAACGGCGGTTCTGTCTTTTCTTCCCTGTGTCTGCTGGGTGTCGTCTCTTCAGCTGCTCATCGCGGCTCCTTAAGCTTCACCACTTTGGCTTCAGAAAACATCTGAGAAATGTTCATAACCGCCTCCTGTCAGAGTGAAGAGGAGGGTTTTTCTGCCATGCCCGTTTTAAAACGACAAAGACCTGCTGCCAAGCTCAGCTGACCTGATGGTTTTTCTTCTCATAAGATCGACTTTTTGCTTTTTTCTTTTATTTTTTCTTGCAATATATTATATTTATGATTTGAAAACATGGAAAATGATCCAAAACAATCTTTGGTTTTTAATATACCCATATATCCATCATGTGATGACTTCCTGAAGGCAGAGTTTTTAAAGAGACAGGCGTTACATTACATAGTCAATTTTCTTTAAGTCATATTTGATATTACAACATTTTTATAACAACTGAAGGTAACATAGTTACTTGATTGAGCTTTAAAATGGCACCATGTGGCTGGAAAGTACGTAATAATTTCTCTTTAATTACATAGCAAATAAGAAAAGCACAAAGTCTTTATTACCAGAAATTAAGCCAAACCATAATGAAGTAATAATCAGTTTTCTGACTGGACTTCTCCTCTGTGTTGTTCAGATATTTTTCTGCTGCATCATGCGAGGCTGTTTGGGGTTTGGCTGCTGCAGCGCCGCATATCACCACCATCTCTGTGGGTTTGCTTTAAATGTCAGGATTTCAGCAGCGTTCGGACCCCCCAGTCCGTCCCTTCACTGCAGCGGACCCCCACTCTGTGGGAATTAGTCCCAGATCCAGCCAGACTGGCGGGAAAATCCTCCTGTGGTGATGCGGCGTTCCTGCTGGTCAGCTGTTTGACACAACAGGGTGAAGTTATGGATTTAGCGAATTATTGAGAATGAAAAGGATGGAAGGATCCAGCAGAACAAGTTTTACATCAGATGTTGACTACAGGAACAAACACTTAATATTAATAATTAGACTGATTGTTGATTTAAAGTTTAGACTCTAAAAAGGCTGTTTGCTGAAAAATAATGAAGCCAAAACTGTGCAGTATATATATATATATAAATTTAGCTTTTAATATAAAAACAAGCCTTTCCTGTAAATATGTTCTATTAGACTTTAAAATGTTAAGTCATAAAGTTATTTATATTATTTGTTTCTTTGCATCTTTTAATGCATTTCTAATATTGCATAAAAAAGCTGAAGTGGTAAAAAGAAAAATATTGGAACATGCTAAATGTTTTTATCTGATTAATGTTCAGAATAATCAGTTGTCAAAATAATCGTCAGTTGCAGCTTATCAATAATAAAAAAATCTTAAAATAGACACAAACCAATTAAAGATATTATGTCCCAAAGCAAGTTTTTGCCAGGTTGAGTTTTAAATTTTTTGAGAAATGAAAATGATCATATTTAACTCCAGCCTGGATTTAGATATTCACTTTTCTCTTTTTATCTAAAAAATATCTTTGATATGTTTGTTTTGCTGCAGTTAACTAAGAATTCAGGATGTTTATTTTGACCCGGTTTTAGTCTAACAGGCACTTTTCCAATTTAAAGTTGTAAAAGTGGCGTCTCACATGGCTCTCTGGGCTGTTTTGAGCTAACTGGTGTTTAGTGTCCAGCAGACGTATTTCTAGACAAAACGTTCTGATTGGTGGAAAACACTGCAACCAAGTCAGAAATGACTTTTCTTTCTGAAATATTCTGGTATTCTGGAAATGATGCTTACCAATTTGTGGTAATTTCCGCAACATTTAACCATTAAAATCCAAGAAAATTATGAAAAATTTTACAACATTGCAACATCTTCTTGCTTGTTTTACCTTAAACAAGGCGGGTGAGGTGCAGATTTGCTCGTTGCGTGGCTGTAGGTGGAATATTTGTGTCGGGGAGACGAGCTTTGTCTGGTCGTATTTGGTTTCAGTTTTACTACAGCAGAGGAGACGGGTTGGCTGCTGCTGGGTGTTTCCCAGCCAGCCCAGTGAAGTCTGGTTGTCTTTAGTGTCTGACGGCTGCTCCCATTGTCATCCCAACATGGCTCCGAGACTTATCTGTATGTGTGTGTGAGTAATGTGTCCAGACAGGCGACGGTGTGTGTGTGTGTGTGTGTGTGTGTGTGTGTGTGTGTGTGTGTGTGTGTGTGTGTGTACTTTAAAAACGTCTGTGATGAAGTGCAGAGGGAGTGTGTGTGTGCCGAGTCAGCCTTTTCCAGCCAGCTACTCACTCATCCTGAAGTCTAATCCCCTTAATCCACCTCCCATCCCATTTTTTTTTTAAATTCCTCCTCCCTCGTTGTTCCAGTTCCCTTCCTGTCTCCCAGTATTCACACTTCCTCAGATCCAGTTGCTTCTAAATGTGGCTACATATTGTTGTCATGCAGACAAACGTACGCTTCATTACTGAACCTTGTTTATAATACTTCTTTATTAAATTGTCAAATATTGGTTCAGTTAACGTTTTGAGATTCGTTGACCTAAAGCAACAAAAGATTTTTTGTATTATAATCTACTACAAAATAAAAGCATGTGTCAGTTTTCCAGCTCTTATTTGGACAGGAATCCCGAAATTATCTCAATATTTAAAATGGTACTTGTCTGATTTATTACTAAACTGTCTCTGGTTGATAAATCGCCTGAACCTGACTGCAGTTCCTTGTAGTCAGAATCAAACAGGAAATTGACGTTGAACCTGTGTGGAATTGGACTGAATCGACCCAAACTGGATCAGTTTCTTTTGCGATCATGTTTGCTGTAAATGTGATACTGTTTTTTTTTTTTTTTTTTTTTTTTTTTGCATTAAACTGGAGATCATTTCAATACAGTTTTTATAATTTCAATCCAGTTCCTATAATTTTGCAGCACTCAGTCTCTGTGAAGGACTGTGATAATTGAGACTCGTCATCAGCGTCAATTTATCAATAATTATTGATTAGTTTCTCTGTTTTAAGTATCTAAAATACTGCCAAGCTGGTGTCATGTCTTTCCTATTTTATTCTCTCCATTCTGTTGTTTTTAATTTTTACCGAATTGGCGAAACTTGAAACTGCTGCTGTGCAAGTTACTCAGCAAGTTGTTGCTAGGTAACCACAGGCTGGGGAAACTTGAAGGTTGTTGCTAGGCAACCAAAGAGTGATCCCACTAACCTAGCGTAGCGGCTAAAGTCTTTCCTCTGCCTAAATCTCAAGAGAATGCCGGGAATATCCAGTGCCTATTCTATATCTGGAATGTTGAATATTCTGTCAGATGTATTATTCCATTGATATTGATCTATAATATCTATTACGATATTTAATTTATTGTTGATTTATTGTCCAGCTGTGGTGGTGACATACATATAAAGATGTGTGTCGTCTGCATATGGTATAATTGGAGCTAAAGGAAGCATGTCGACTTTAAATTAAAGGAACTTTGAGGAACTTGACCTTACGTCTTTGTTCACTTAGATTTATAGTTGAGAAAATCTGAACTGTTTGGAAAAACTTTGGTTTAGAAGGGTGAAGAAAAAAAGCAGCATGGTAAAAAAGAAAAATGAAGGTATATTTTTGGAGTTGCTTCCTGTCAGTTGATGTTTCCTCACTTTCCTGTCAGGCTGTGGAGCGTGTGCAGGTGGACGGCATCCAGCCGAAGCTGCAGCACGTCAACGCCGTTGGTCAAGGCCTGATCCAGAGCGCCGCCAAGCACACCGACACGCAGGCGCTGGAGCACGACCTGGAGACCACCAACCTGCGCTGGAACTCGCTCAACAAGCGGGTACGGCTCAGAAAACGCCACCAAAAAACAGTTAAAGCCCTCAGCTTTACAAAAACAGGCTGGTTTATTCAACTGTAACATGAGCTTTGATTCCTGAGTTTTAATCTAATTTGATGTTTTAAATTTAATATATTGCAAATTAAATAGAATGGAAAAAGTTTCACCAAATCCGTTGTGAATAAAATCCTTTTAAAATGATTTAATTAGTTAAAATAAGAAGCATTTATGAAATATCAGTTTAACTATTTTTTTATACGATACACCTTCATATTTAAGTTTCTGTATATTTTTCACATTTACACAAAACTTTATTTGCAAATTTTCCTTTTTTTTTATTATCTTTGATTGAGTTCATGGTATTAAAAATAAATCCTGTGCCTGTGTGTTTTGTTTGAATAATAATATTTTTTATTTGTTGGCCTCAGGTTGCAGAACGTATCGCCCAGCTGCAAGAGGCCCTGTTGCATTGTGGGAAGTTTCAGGATGCGCTGGAGCCTCTGCTCAGCTGGCTGAGTGACACGGAGGAGCTGGTAGCCAATCAGAGGCCTCCGTCTGCCGAATACCGCGTCGTGAAGGCTCAGATCCAGGAGCAAAAGGTAAAACAAGTCAATAAACTTATAAAAAATCTGTTTTTATTAAGTTATATCTATTTTTCTGTGTAGATCATTATAAAAACAACGTCTGCCAGTCCAGAGACACATTTTTCCTTGTTTAGCCTCACATATTTCCTGTGTTTGTGCTCATGTGAGCCAGTTAGAGATCAATCACGTCTGTTTACCTCTGTGACGTAAAGAGTTTCGCCGTTCAGATAAGAGAGAGAGAGTAAACAGAGAGAGCAGCTGCTGGAAGGAAACAACAGTCATGCTGTTTAAATACAGCAACGCTGGCGACTTCAAGAGAATCTGTAGGAAATCTGTGGTGGAAGATATGAGCTGTTTTCAGGCTGCACAACAAAAAGTGTTGAGACAAAGGAAGATATTCACAGTACATTTGAAATAAGACAAACTTACAAGTAACTTTTCAGCAAGATATACGAGATTATTTTAAGTCAATAATTGTTTAATATTGATTAAAAATATACTTTTGTTCCAATGGCAGATCATTTCACTTATGACGAGACATTTTTCCCTGTTATAACTGAAATAAAGTTTTGTGTTTTTGCAGTGTAAAACAGAAGTTTTAGTTTTTAGGTTTGGTTTATTATTGGAAAAGAAACATTGATCCAGACATATTTAAGCTTCTTATGATCTCATCCATAAACCAAATCAACAGCAAAAATGTTTCATTGTTGCCAAGTTTTATGGCTCAAAGTTTAAGTAGCAGCTGACAGAGATCTGGGGAATGTTAGAAACCGCTGGGTGAGTTTCACCTTCTCAAAACGGATTTCAGGTTTAAAATGTTTCCACTTCCTGTCCTGCAGCTGCTGCAGAGATTGTTAGACGACCGCAGGCTGACGGTGGAGATGATCCGCGCGGAAGGAGCCAGGATCGCAGCCACGGCGGATTCTCAGGACCGGGAGAAGATCCAGGTCCAGCTGCAGCATCTGTCGGAGCGATGGTCGGACCTGCTGGACAAGGCCGGCGGCAGGTAAACCCCCCACCGCACCGAGCAGATCCGGTTCCACCAGAACATTTGATCCGGTCGTTTTCAGTCACTCATCACTAAGGAATCTTATTTAGTCCTGGGAAAGAGACATCGGATATTTTCACTGCAGTTTAAAGAATTGGTTAGGGCTGGAATGATTAATCGGATTAATTGTAATTAATCAAAAAAAATTGTCAACTAATTTAGTAATCGATTAATTAACTGGAGCATGAAGACTCAATAAAGGCCAATTACTGAAAGAACAACATATTGAGAGCAGTAATGAAGCCAAAACTATTCAAAAACATTTATGCATTTTGAATTTATGATTAAAAAAAACAACCTTTGTCTACAAGTATTTTATGACCAAAACTCCTCAAGTTTTAGCTTCACCTGGTTCAAATTTATTAAAGGAATGATATTTTACTGCTTTTTCAGCTGTACAGTTTTTTCTTATTTAAAAGAGCAATTTAATTATTTGCTTATCTGCATCTTTTAATGTTTCCCTTATAGAATTAAAATGTCTTAAGTGGTTTTTCTGTAAATATGTTCAACCCAGATCTCCTCAAGTGAGTTTAAGCTTCACTCCATTCAAATTCTGAAAAAAAAGTCTATTTGGCACCTTTTCCTATCTAATCATCAATAATGCAGAAATCAACAAATTAATCTGTAACTGATCAAGCATTATGCTGTTACATTTTAGGCAATAAAATGTCCAACCTCCTATTTATAAATGAAAATGAATTGTTTATTTACATCTTTTGATGCGTTTCTAAAATTGCATTGAAAAAAGACTTAAGTAGTTAAACTAAAAATGCCTATTGTTATTGGATTAATTGATTAATCATACAAATAGTTGATAATAACAGCACTGGATGCACGTCGACATCATCGTATCTTCTGCTTATATCCTGTTATGTTCTGTTCTTATGGAAAAATGTTTGGTCCCAGCTGGTTCCTGTGGTGTAAATGTAATTTATATTTGATACAACACTGAAACCACAACAAAGAGAGTCATCAGAAAGCTCAATCTCATTTCACAATGATGCTTTGTACCATGTTGGAGAGCATGAAACATGATTAAACTGTCCGCTGCAAGCTTTTCTTCGCGCTCACAAACTCATACACACGAGATAATATTTCAGCTGTTAGTAAAACTGATTTGTGTCTGACAAATCCGTTTAGAAGAAGCTTTAGATGGACTTGTATCTAATAAAAACTTCATGAATATTTAATAAAATGGGCTTACATGACAAGAAATAAGCCTGCAAAAGCAATAAAATACGAATAAAACTCCCAATTTTCTGTCCGATCTCAGGCAGCGGCAGCTGGAGGAGCTGCAGGTTCTGGCTCTGCAGTTCCACGAAGCGCTGGAGCCGCTGGGAGAGTGGCTGAGCGCCACCGAGAGACGCCTGAGCTCCGCCGAGCCCATGGGAACCCAAACGGCCAAGATCACCCAGCAGATCGTCAAGCACAAGGTACCGTCTGCCGACAGAACCGGCGCCGGGTCAGAAGCCTGGAGACGAGAGACTCAGTAGATCAGAGAGAAGAACCAGCAAACCGTCATGCTGGCTTTCTTAGAGAATTAATACAAAGATAAATGATTAATTGTGACTGATCAAAAATCAAAACTGTCAACTAATTTAGTATTCAGTCGTAGCTGGATTATACAGACTTAAAAAAAAGGCCATTTGCTGAACAAAACACCATATTCAGAGCAGCAGGTAAGACAAAACAAAAAATAAACACATTTTCCACTTAAGTCTGTGAATTTGTTTTAGTCAAAACTCCTGAAGTGGGAGTGTGACTTCACCCAGTTCAGATTTAGTAAATTAATGCATTTTCCTAAAAACACAATACTTTTGTGCAAAAATAGCTTGAAAAGCGTAAAAAAACAACACACACACCCAACATCCATGTTATTCCAGTTCATCATCTTTTAATGTTTGTGTTGTTCTTATTTATAGTTTCTCATCTGCATGCTCTTATTTTGTGTTTTCATCCATCTGTTTTCTGTTGTTTTCATTTCCTTTCTCATTTCTCCTCATATAAAACACACTCACACACACACTCACACACACACACACTTCCCAGGCGCTCCAGGAGGACGTTTCCTCCAGAGAGGCTGAGGTTGACCACCTCGAGTCCCTCAGCCAGTCTCTGTCCCCGCTCAGCTGCGCGGCCGATCGTGATTGGCTGCGTGAGCGCGTGGGGGCGGTGCGGTCGGGTCACTCGGAGCTCGCCGATTGGTGCGCTGGGCGGGCGGCGCTGCTGGATCAGGCGCTGGCCAACGCGAGGCTGTTTGGTGAGGAGGAGGTGGAGGTGCTGAACTGGCTGGCGGAGGTGGCTCAGAGACTGGGTCAGGTCTCGGTGCAGAGCTACCAGCCCCAGCTGCTGGCCGAGCAGCACAAACACACACTGGTACGACTCAACACTGAAAAAACTAAACCTCACCAAGTGTCTTTGGTCAAGTTGTTGGTACAAATACCCTAGTGCCCTTGAAATATGACAAAACTAACGTACTAGTTTATGAAAAAGTAAATAAAAAAGTGAGATAATTTGCCATTGAAACAAGACATTCTAAGCTACAGAATGAATTAGGTTAATATTACTGAGGATGGTAGCGTAATCCAACTTTATGATAGCATTTAAGTTAATTATTAGCTCATTTTTAGCTTTTTTGTCAAAAGCTACATTTGTCTTACTTGTTACTGACTTACATTTTAGTGTAAAGCAATATAACAATAGCATTTAAGCTAGCATTAGGTTTGTAGCTGACTGACTTGAAAACCAAAATTAGCTTTAGATTTACTGTTAGCCGTCATGGTAGTGTATAGCTAACATAATAAAGATAGCATTTAAGCTAACTTTAATTTGTTAAATTTTATTTTTCAGTCACTAAAGTTTATTTACTGAATGGATTAGGTTAATGTTACTCACTCGGCATGTTAGTGTGAGCCAACGTAATGATCGCATTAAAGCTAACATGAGCTTTTTAGCTAATTTTGACCTAAAAAGTAAAGAAATGTCTTGTTCAATTGTCAGATTATTTCACCTACAATTATTACTTTTTCATCAATATTAAGGAATTATTTACTTTAAAAAACGCTCCTATATCATGCTAAAAAGTTAATCTCAGGTTAGTTTGGTCTTATTTCCAGTGTACTAATATTTTTTAACTAGAAACTAAACCAAAATGACTTTGTAAGGTTTTATGTTTTTGAAGTAAAGGATATAAAAAGCAGCTTTTGTCTTTTTTTCTTTTAGAGAAACAGCAGAAATGTAAAGCATAAATGAAGCCGCTTTCTGTTGTTTTTCTTCATCTTCAGGCTCTTAATGAGGAAATCCTGAGCAGGAAGAAAACTGTGGATCAGGCCATCAAAAACGGACAAGCTTTGCTCAAGCAGACCACAGGTGAGCTGCTTTTCAGTGTCCTGCATATTCCACAGGATTCATACGGATTCTTAAAAATGGAAAGTGCTTGATCTCTGTATAACGTCCTTAAAAGTCATTATTAATATTTTAGTTTAACGTATCCCTACTTAAATAGAAGATCATCATACGACATTAGCAACAATAATAAATATCAGGAAATAGTGAATTGAAACTGACTTTTAGTTCATTTGTATTGTAATAGTGGAAAACTTGCCTTGAAAACTCTTGAAAAGTGCTTGAATTTCACTGGTTCCTTGACGGGTCGCTCTGCGTTTCCCTCCCAGGTGAAGAAGTGCTGCTGATCCAGGAGAAGCTGGACGGGATCAAGTCCCGCTACGCCGAGATGACGGCCGGCAGCAGCAAGGCGCTCCGCACGCTGGAGCAGGCCCTGCAGCTGTCCACGCGCTTCGCCGCGGCCCACGACGACCTCAACCAATGGCTGGACGGCGTGGAGGCGGAGCTTAGCAACATGGAGCCGGATGCCTCGCCTGCCTACCAGGAGAGACAGAAGGTGGGGGGAGTTGTCGTTTGTTTTTATTGAAACAAAAACAATCCTCTTCATGAGACTTTCTTAGGAAAACGGTGTCTTCAGTCAGAGGCTTCTTCAAATTCACTGTGATACAGACTGCTGCAGGAAATCTTTCCTGCCATCACCATCTACAATAACTCTGATTAATTTGAATTAATATGAGTTACACCATTTAATTTTCCTTTGGGATTTATAAAGTATTTTTGAGTTTGAAAGTTTGTGTTCAATTGTAAACGTTTATTTTTAAATCCGGTTTCAGATTTTATTTAGAGGCATAAAGGTCAGTTTAAACACATTTAACCACAGTTTTAAAAGTCATTCATATTTGCTTTAATGAGTCGTTGCTTTCTGTCTGTAACGGTTCCAGCATCAGCCCACCCATAGCCGAGTTTCCATAGAAATGCTCTTTATTCTTGGACCTCAGCAACATGTTTTGAAAGGATTTCTGTTTATGTAATCCGTTTCCTGTCTCCAGGTTTTGCCAGTTTGAGACGATATTTTCATGATGTGACATTTAAAGTGTTTTTAAAAAGATAAATGAGAGCAGCTGGATGTCTGACGCTTTCAGACGCATTCAGCTTCATGTTGCTGTGGTTTTATTTTTGGTTATTTTGCTGCAGGAGCTGAAGAAAGTGTCGGCTGAGAAGCGCCTGGTTCTGGACACGGTGAACGAGGTGGGCAACGCCCTGCTGGATCTGGTGCCGTGGCGCGCCCGCGAAGGCCTGGACCGGCTCGTCGCCGACGCCAACCAGCGGTACCGACACGCCGATGAAACCATCACTCAGCGTGTGCAGCTGGTGCAAGCTGCCATCCAGAGGTCGCAGCAGGTACTGCAGGAAGCATCCAGTTACTGAGAAATCTGTTTGTGCTAATGTTTTTAAATCACTGTGAATTATGGATGCAGTTAAACTTAGTTCCAGCCAGAGGAGGGAAGACTGCTGAAGTAGTGATACTCTAACTTGAGTGTAACTTTTGGGTAATCTGCCGTCCTCTGACTTCATTCATCGATAACTGAACTCTTTGGCTCAGTATGAGGAGGCGGTGGACGCAGAGCTGGCCTGGGTCGGGGAGACGGAGCGGAAGTTGACGTCTCTGGGCCCCCTGAGTCTGGAGCCGGACGTGACCGTGGCTCAGCTGCAGGTGCAGAGGGCCTTCAACATCGACATCATCCGACACAAAGACACCGTCGACCAACTGCTCAGCGTCCGAGACGAAGTGCTGGAAGCCTGCAGCGACGCGCAGAAGGACGCTCTGATGGTACGTCGCCAGCCTCTCACTACAGAGACGAGCATGAATCAACTAATCACACGAGTTATTAACATGAGCTCCATAATTTCCAGTGTGATCATTAATATACTTTGAAGGGTAACTTTGTTTACAGAAACTTCAATAATCCATTCTATCTAGTGTTTCGATTGTGTGGTTTTTATTTTGTTTTTATTTGTTTTTTGTTCTGTTTTATTTTTGATATTTAAAATCCAGTGTGTTCTGTAAAAACCTCAAGTTTTAGTCTTTGACAGGCCAAACTTGCATTTAGAGCTGAAGCGATTAATCATATTAAGGATGATTAGTCTTAGTGATAAAATCAGCTAATTTAGTAATTGGTTAACTGTTAACTGGAGACTCAAAAAAGGCCACTTGCTGAAAATACCCAACATATTCAGAGCAGTAATTAAGCCAAACTCTACAAAACATAAACATTTAACAATTAAGATAAAACACTTTTGTCTGTAAATATATTTTACCCAAAAATATATTATCTGTAGTAAATGAGGCAGAGTGTGTGATGTAACGCGTTAACTCCTCCCGCAGGTGAAGACGGATTCTCTGAGCTCGCGTTACGACACGGTGAGCCAGAGCCACAGCGAGCGGTTCTCGGCTCTGGAGCAGGCTCAGGTTCTGGTGGCTCGGTTCTGGGAGACCTACGAGGAACTGGAGCCGTGGCTGGGCGAGACCGAAGCCCTCATCACTCAGCTTCCGCCTCCAGCGATCGACACAGACGCTCTGCGGCTGCAGCAGGACCAGATGAGGGTAGGACATGTTGAACGGTGTTATCTTGTTTTTTTTTTAATCTTCTTTTATTTGGAAAAATACACAATAAAAAAACATGCAATTTATTTATCCAGTTATTGAAAAACAGATTTGAATTAAGTGGTCTGGTGGAGATTATATCACGGGGAGTTTAGAAGAAATGGGACAAAGATGAACAATCTTCATCACAGATGAAATTATATAAAGTTTTGAGAACGTTTTGCTTTTCTCAGACTATTTTTATTTCTCAAAGCTCTTTACTGCCCCCTTGTGGGTAAATAAGGAAAAGGCGAATAACTTCTTTGAGACAGAGTTTTTAAAGCATACATCATTCTTGTTGGGCACAAAGTCTGAGTCGCCTCAGTGTTTTAATTGTTGTCTAATTTGCATAGTTTCATTTTGCCGGGTGTAATTCTGCGCAGGTCAGATTTTATTCTTTGAAGGATTTTTCTCTGCAGCTGCTCAGGGAGTCGATCGCGGAGCACAAACCTCACATCGACAAGCTGCTGAAGATCGGGCCGCAGCTGGCCCAGCTCAGCCTCCAGGAGGGGGCGACGGTGACGCAGCGCTACACTGAGGCAGAGAGGCGCTACCTGGCCATCAAGGAGGAGGTCAAAGGTCGCGCCAGAGCGCTGGACGAGGCGGTGTCCCAGTCTGCACAGGTACGGATATATCCGTCCCTCATGTCTCCATTTACTGAAAATAAACGTGTTACATGAGTTAAAGGACATCGTTACTAAACAGCATGAAGTTTCTTTTGAATGTTTTAAGATGTTTTTGTGGTTTTTCTAGAAACTAACGAGGATTTATTGCATCGTGTTTATAGGAAGGGGGTCATGGAAACTCCAACATAAACTTTGTCCTCTTGGTTTGCGTCTCTAATCAAAAATGCAAACAAAAACCAACAAAGTTTCCTTCACAGTCTGGAAACCAAAACACTGGATTTCAGGGTTTCCAGATCTGGAGAAAACAGAAAAGTTTTATTATTTAGGATATTTAAAAACTTTATGCCATGTCTGATTGTCAACATGGAAACAAAGGAGTTTCCCTCCATCCATCCATCCATCCATCCATCCATGCATCCATCCATCCATCCATCTGCCCATCCATCCATCCATCCATCCAATAGTGCATCCGGCCGTCCGTCCATCCATCCATCCATCCATCCATCCATCCATGCATCC